GGACCAGTCGCTGGAGAATGATATCATGTTTGGCAAGGTGGAGGGTCAGAGAAAAAGAGGACCCCAGCGAAATGGATTGGCAGCCTCAATGGGCTCAAGTGTGGCAACAATAGTGAGGTTGGCTCAGTACTGGGCAATGTTTCGTTCTGCTGTGCACAGGGTCTCTTATGAGTCGGTACCAACTCAATGGCACTTAACAACAATAACATGGATGGAAAAGAACCCTTGTTGGTAGTGTGGTTAGGCCTTGGACTGCTAACTGAAAAATTGGCAGTTCAAAACCATCAGCTGCTTGAAGGGGGAAAGAAGATAAGGTTGTTGGTTCCCATAAAGATTTGTCTTGAAAACCCTTGTTGTTGTTGTTAAGTGCCGTCAAGTCAGTTCTGACCCATAGCGACCCTGTACAGGGTTTCCAAGGGTGTAAATCTTTACGGGAGTAGAAAGCCTCATCTTTCTCCCGCGGAGCGGCTGGTAGTTTCGAACCACTGACCTTAAGGTTCGCAGCCCGATTCGTAACCACTACGCTACCAGAGCTCCTTCTTGAAAACCCTATATAAGGTAAATATGAGTCAGAATTGACTCTATGGCAATGGTTTTGGATTGGTTTTATATTAACAGACCTTTAGATCTTTTTCAGTGTTTAGGAACATCTTTATCAACAGTGCTACCGTGGTTATTCTTATATATGTTTCCTAGTATATCTACACACACATTCCTGTTATGTAGATACATATTTTTAATTTTTGTTGCTTTTGAGAATATACACAACAAAACATACATCAATTTTACAATTTCTGTATATGCAACTTAGGAGCATTGATACGTTCTTCCAGTTCTTCTAAGTTGTTTCTCCTCCTTTAACATAAGCTTATTGCCCTGGGAGGTTTCTGTCGAATCTTTCAAATTGCTGTTGTCAATTTGATACCATATAGATAGTTCTTAACAAAGAGCACATGCTGGGCCATGTCCGATCTGTAATTTAGAATGTTGTTAAGTGCAGTTGAGTAGGTTCCTACTAATAGCAACCCTATATATGATTTCTGAGGAGCAGCTGGTGGGTTTGAACCCCTGACCTTGTGGTTAGCAGTCCAGTGCTTATCTTACAGTGCCAAATCAGGACTCCTAATTTAGGAGCTCTGGTAGTGTAGTTGTTACGAGTTGGGCTGCTAACCTCAAGGTCAGCAGTTTGAAACTACCAGTTGTTCCGCAGGAGAAAGATGAGGCTTTCTGCTCCCATAAAGATTTATAGCCTTGGAAACCCTATTCAGGGTTGCTCTGAATTGGAACTGACTCATGGCATATCACCACCACCAACTTAGAATAGTATTTAAAATTTTTTAAATAGCTTTACGTTAATAGAATTCATATACATGTCTCAGTTTTAATTTCCACAGTTGTTAAGATCGTAACATTATTATAGTGTATTTGTCACAACCCTAGTGATGTAACCTGTTGGGCTATTAACTGCAAGGTCATTAGTTCAAATACACTAGTCACTCTGTAGTAGAAAGGTTTACCGCCTCAGAAACCGTAGGTTGAGTCACTCTGAATTGCAGTGGACTTGATGGCAGTGAGAATGAAGACAGTTAACTAAGACTGATAGTTAAATTCCTTACTTCATATTCATATTTCACTAGTTTTCCCCGAATGTCCTTTTTCTGTTCCTGGATCCCCTCCATAATACCATATTACATTTTGTTATCAAGTCAGTCTTGTGTCCTCTGATCTTGTTTTTGATGATGTGAATATCAGTGAGGTGTTTTGTAGAGTTTGCCTTGGTTTGGGTTTGTCTGATGTTTTCCTCATGGTTAGATTGAGATTATGGGTTTTGGGGAGGAAGGCTACAGACGTAAAGCCATTCTTATCCCATATCAAGAGTATCTATTATCAGCCTGGCTCTGTAACACTGAGGATATGACCAAGGCTGTTTTTAATTGGTGGACCTCTGAGGTCTTTTTCAGTGTTTCTTTACTTTCTATGCTGCACTCTTTGGAAGCAAAGCAATAACATAGTCCTACAGGACAGTTTGGAGATTAAGATCTACTTCCTGGAGGGGAGATTATCTGCATAAATTATTTGGAATTTTTCTGTTAAAAAAAAAAAAAAGCTCATCAGTCTCTTCTCACCTATTTATTTACTTGTCTCATTTACTAATTCTATATGTTCTGAAGGAATTTTCAGTGTTTGATGCTTCCACACATTTATTCCATTTTTCTTTTTAAAAATTAGTGTGTTGTCAAGTACTGTCAAGCCAATTCCAACTCAGAACCTGCTTTTATCAGATCTTATTTGTAATCTTGACTATCACTATAGCATGGTTCTTAAAAATGCAAAACAGCTGATAGCTCGCCAATTATAGCATAAAGTCCTGATCTATCATGTAATAATTTAACTTTTCTTTGAGAAGTAATTTTTCCCTTCTATACATTTTTATTTCCACCATCCAACTTTCCTTTCCAAACATAGAGGGAGGCACTATGACATGCTAGAAAGGGCAAGGGATTTAGAGAAAGTGTAGTTCCAGCTGGACTACTTACTAACTCTGGGACTTCAGGCAAACCACCAAAAGTGAGTAATGAGGATGCTGGGAAAAATGTGATTTAATGCACTGGAGTGTACATGTTGTTACTGTTAAATGTCAATGAGTCAATTCCAACTCATAGTGACCCTGTATAGGGTTTATGAGGAGTGGCTGGTGGGATTGAACTGCCAACCTTGCAGTTAGCATTCAAGTGCTTATCCTGTTGCTCCACTCCATGAAATTGAATAAGACACTTACAATGGCTGATAAATGAGTGAACACAGGGCTCAAAAGACTAAGAATTGCTGAAGTTTAAAGAACTATCACAGTGGATGTGAGGGCATGAAACTGTTCAACAGATAGGAAGGTAGTAGAGAATATGTTATGGGACTTTGCAGTTTAAGACTTGAGTAGTTGCTGATGAATCCTGGGGTGAGGTCATCAGAGAGAAATGCTAGAATAAAATAAGGCAATGGGAGTTGAGGTCAAGGATGAGAGAGAATGTTTTGGATGGGTTTTACCATTGAACTCAGAATAATTTTGGTGTGTATAGGTGTGTCTGTGCATGAAAGGAGCTGTGAGCTAGGAACCCAGAACCTCAGTGACCACATAAGGATTTGTGACCAGAAATGACATGACAAGAAGAGATAGAGGGTGGCATATTCTATTTTATGTGCTTCAAAAATAATAATAGACTCCTGGTGTGGTGCTGTAGGATATGCACTGGACTGTGAATCACAAGGTCGGAAGTTCAAACTCACAGCTGCTCCTGGGAAATTCTATACAGGATTGCTATGAGTTGGAACCGATTCAGTGGTGCAGGATCCAGCCTGCACGACCAGGTCTCAGAGGCAGACAGGGAATGAAAGTGAAAGGCTCAAGACGGTCACTCAAGAATAACTTTATTACCTACAATACAGCTTTAAGTACAATCTTAGGCAGGAAGCGTATTCAGGCACCACAACAAAGCTAAAGTTTATTATTATCCAGATAACACTCAGGCACAGATACTTTCTTCTCATTATAGACTTCTCCCCCAGGCACCTGGTCAGGGTGTTCATTCCCATAATCTTTGGCATACAAGGTTTTCCTTATGGTTCTAATCAAGGCGTTCCTTGGTTTGAGTACTGCCTCAGAGTGGGTTTCACACACACTCTGTTTCTCCTACACAGTGACATAAACAACAAGAGAAGTGCTTTCTAAGATGAACTATATGTTGGGTATTGGGGCGGGAGAAAAGGGATTAGGAAAATTAGCAATACTTCATTGGAGCCTGTTTGTACCAGATGATGTACAAACTCCATTTTACTTAATCCACATTATAGTCCTCTAAGATGATAACTCTGATATCACCACTTTGCAGAAGAATAAATTGAGGTTCGGAGCAATGAACTTTTTATTTCTTTAAGCTCATAAGTGATGCAGTTGAGAGTAAATTTAGCTGGAAGAAATATATAATTGCTGTTGTTAAGTGCCATCAAGTCAGTTCTAACTGATAGCGATCCTGGTGGGTTTCAACTGCCACCTCGCAGTTCAAACCTACCTTGCGGTCCAGTGCTTATCCTTCAGTGCTACACCGGGACTCCAAAATATACAGTTGTTGTTGTTGTTGTTGTTATGTGCCATGGAGTCAGTTCTGACTCATAGAGACCCTGAACAGGATTCCTGAGGCTGTAAATCTTTACAGGAGCAGAAAGCCTAGTTTTGAACTGCTGATCATGAGATTAGCAACCCGATTTGTAACCACTGCACTAGAGTTGTTGTTGTTGTTGTTAAGTGCCATCGAGTCGGGTCCGACCCATAGCGACCCTGTACAGGGTTTCCGAGGGTGTAAATCCTTACGGGAGTAGAAAGCCTCATCTTTCTCCCGCGGAGCGACTGGTAGTTTCGAACCGCTGACCTTAAGGTTCGCAGCCCGATTCGTAACCACTAGAGTAGAGTGATCTAAATTAGTATTTGATGATAGAAAACAATATTGTTGTTGTTGTAAAGTGTCATCGAGTTGGTTCTGACCCATAGTGACCCTGAATAGGGTTTTCAAGGAGCAGCTGGAAAATACATTTGTTGTTGTTAAGTGCCATCAAGTCAGTTCATCCCATAGTGACCCTGTATAGGGTTTATAAGGAGCAGCTGGTGAGCTTTAACTGCTGACCTTGCAGCTCAAATATTGTTAAGCCTAATTTGTTGTTGTTGTTGTTGCTGTGTGCTGTCGAGTTGGTTCTGACCCATAGCAACCCTGTAGAGTTTCTAAGGAGCATCTGATCAACTTGAACCACCAACCTTGCAATTCAAACTGACTTTGCAGTCCAATGTATTAGTCCACAGTGCCACACCAGGGCTCCTAATATCAGCCTAATATAGTTGTCAATATTTATAGGAAAATTGACCAAGTCTGTATTTTTATAGGTATTTCATTTTCTAATGTTTTCTTCCACAGGTCCCATTTATTCAATGTTCTTACAATTATACTTGGAACAAGATGGCAGCTTCATCATCATCTTTCTTTTCTGAGTTTGGGTTGTTGTTGTATTTGGAGGAATTGGACAAAGAACAGTTAAATAAATTTAAGTTACTCCTAAAGAATGAGACCGTAGAACCTGGGCACTGCCAGATCCCCTGGTCTGAAGTGAAGAAGGCCAACAGGCAGGAACTGGCTGACCTAATGAACAAGTATTATCCAGAAGAGCAGGCCTGGAGTGTGACTCTCAAAATATTTGGCAAGATGAATCTGAAGGAGCTTTGTGAGAAAGCAAAAGCAGAGATCAGTTGTAAGTGATGTTAGGGGCTGACCTGGGGTTTAAAAGGAGGGAGTGTTTTCTGGAGACCATTAGAATGATTCGATAATGAGTCCCTGGCAGCCCTTCAGGTGTATCCAGACAGTATCATCACAGGAAGTGCAGATGGGAAGGAGAAACCAGAAGTTCTTCCTCTCTAGCCAGTGTGCATGAGATGTTCCTAGATGTAAACTTCTCAGTTGACTTTCTAACATAGGATGTTGTCTATGTTAACAAGACGGTTGTCTGGCCTGAAGCTAAATCACAATCCTGTTTGAAAGTCTAGATTTTTATGATGTACAGTCATATTGGAGTCCTGGTGTGGCACTGTGGGAGTAATGCACTGGACTGCAAGGTCGGCTTGAACCACAAGGTCAGTGGTTCAAACTCAACAGCCACTCCTCAGAAACCCTATACAGGGTCTCTATGAGTCAGGTCTGACTTGATGGCACTTACCAACAACATAAGAGGGACTTGAGCTTAAACCATGTGAGGGGCACAAACTCCATGGTTGTTAGCATGTTTGGGGCTTGGTACATCATTACTAGTGAGAACTCACTGTTACTGGTGAGAACCAGTAAAGGGACAAGAGGAATTATAGTGCTGGTACTCAGCCTGCCTCATCTGGTACTAATCAGAATCGTCAAAATAATTAAGTGATAGGAATTGTCCCAGAGGCAAAGGGTGCCTTTCGCTTCAACTATAATTAAAGTTGAGGCTAAATTTTGAGAATCTCAAATATGATTTATCATCTTTGCTGAAGTGTGAAGACATAGTTCAGGGACATAAGCTAAGAGAGTGTTTTTAGTCATTCTCTGGTATGATATATTGTAGAATTTCTCCATATTTAAAATTCTTTGCTTATATACACTACTTTATAACTACAATTATCTTGAGCCTCTGAGATAAGTGTAGACAAGAAACACTGACCACTTGTCTTAGAGTTATGGGTAAGAAAGCATGACAGAAAGTTTCCAATTTCATTGATGTTTTTACCACACAAACTGTTCCCATAGCTAAGCTGGTAGAGTCTGAGACTCTGTTGGATTTGTTGTTGTTGTCAGGTGCCATTGAGTCGGAACCGACTCATAGTGACCCTATGCACAGCAGAACGGAACAATGTCCGATCCTGGGCCAACCTTACTACCGCTGCCACACTTGAGTCCATCAATAATGCCACCTGGCCAATCCATCTCGTTAGGGGTCTTCCTCTTTTTCTCTGACCCTCCAACAGGATGTGATGCTGTTGGATTTAGTTTCTCCAAAATCAGCTAGTAATAGAGTTGGAGCACTGAGATGAAGATGCTGCCCATTCTGGCCATTATCAGAGCTCCCTTGTTTTTGGTAAATCCCATGAACATGTTAGCATAGGCCTCTCTCTCATTTTGCAGCAGCAGCCCAGACTATGAGGCCAGAGGACAACAAGGCCAGAGAGACCCAGGGAAATCAGAAAGCAGAGCTGGGTGAGTTTTGAGAAACATTTAAATTGTGATCACAAGGAGGAATTCGAATTAACTAAAAATGAAGCTATATTTTTTTTCTACGTGGGTGCTTTTCAACATTTTTCCACTTTTCTGTATAAAATTTTTTCTGCTGAGCTTCAGTGTTGTTCTCTGTTAATTTTTTATTTGTATACAGTAAGCTATTTTCACCTAGAGATTCAAGACTGTCTTCAGCTCCTCCCTATTATATTTAATTATTACTTCTCTCCTTCGTTTGCTGTCTGATAACTCTGTTCTCCACATATGTTGTTGTTGTTAAGTGCTGTCGAGTCGGTTCCGACCCATAGCGACCCTGTACAGGGTTTCCGAGGGTGTAAATCTTTACGGGAGTAGAAAGCCTCATCTTTCTCCCGCGGAGTGGCTGGTAGTTTCGAACCACTGACCTTAAGGTTCGCAGCCCGAGTCGTAACCACTACGCTACCAGAGCTTCTTTCTTTTTTAAAAAAAGATGAAAAGTACAGAGAAAATATTTCTAGAGGGACTCTAATTTTAATTGTCTGTCACTAGTCCTGGAGTGGAGTTGTAGGCTAAGCATTAGACTGCTAATCACAAGGTTGGTGGTTCAAACCCACCAGTGGGTCCTTGAAAACCCTATACAGGGTTGCCATGAGTCAGAACCAATTCAATAACACTTAACAACAGCAGCAACAATTCATTGTTCTGCATTGTCACTTCTGTTTTCAACACTTCTAATGCTGTAGGGTCAGGACTGGACTGCGAACCTCAAGGTGGCAGTTCAGACCCACAGCTTGCTCCTTGGAAACCTTATACAGAGTCGCTATGACTCAGAACCAACTCAACAGCACGTAACAACAACAATGCATGTTAATTCTACAAGAATATTATTGTTTTACTTTTCTTACTTAAACAAGCTTCACTTTCATTTCAGTATATATTATCTTATTCCTAATTCCAATTTTAACTCAATAGCATTTGTGTTGGTCATGTGTGCCACGGTTGTTTCTCTCCCCCTTCTCCCCCATCCTAACTCATTTAGGTGTTGGAACAGAATACCGAATTCAAGTGAAGGAAAAATTCTGTATCATGAGGGACAAGAACTATGAAGGTTTCTGTCATAGAATTACTCAGGAAGATCAAGAACTGTTGGAACATTTATTTGATGTGGATGTCAAAACTGGTGAGCAGCCACAAACAGTGGTGCTACAGGGAGCTGGTGGAGTTGGGAAAACGACCCTGATGAGAAAGGCAATGCTAGATTGGGCAGAGGGCAATCTCTATCAGCAGAAATTTACCTGTGTTTTTTATCTCAATGCAAGAGAAATTAACCAGCTGAAGGAGAGAAGCTTTGTTCAACTTATATCAAAGGACTGGCCGAGCAGAGAAGGCCCCATTGAAAGGATCATGTCGGAGCCAGGTAGTCTCCTTTTTATTATTGATAGTTTTGATGAACTAAACTTTGCTTTTGAGGAACCTGAGTTTGCACTGAGCAGTGATAGGACCCAGCAACACCCGGTGTCCTTCCTCATGAGTAGTTTGTTGAGGAAAGTGATGCTCCCTGAGTCCTCCTTATTAGTGACAACAACACTTACTGCTTATAAGAGACTAAAGCCTTTGTTGAAGAGTCACCATTATGTAGAGCTGGTCGGAATGTCTGAGGATGCAAGAAAGGAATATGTTTACCAATTTTTTGAAGACAAGAAGTGGGCCCTTCAAGCATTCAGATCACTAAGGAATAATGAGATGCTTTTTAACATGTGCCAAGTTCCCCTACTGTGCAGGGTTATTTCTACTTGTCTGAAGGAGCAAATGGAGAAGGCAGCTGATGTCACCTTGAACTGCCAAACCACCACATCTCTATTTACCTGCTATATCTCTAGGTTGGTCACATCTGTAGATGGAAGCTGTCCTAGTCTACCTGACCAACTCCAACTGAAGAATCTATGCCACTTGGCTGCCAAGGGAATATGGACTATGACATACGTGTTTTACAGGGACAATCTCAGAAAGCATGGGTTGAATAAATCTGATGTTTCAATTTTCCTGGACATGAATATTCTTCAAAAGGATTCAGAATATGACAATTGCTATGTGTTCACCCACCTACAGATTCAAGAATTCTTTGCAGCCATGTTCTATCTATTGAAAGGCAAGTGGGAAACTAGGGACTATTCCTTCCAGTCTTTTGAAGACTCAAAGTTGTTAATTGAAAGCAAAGCTTATGAAGACATCCATTTGATGCAAATGAAAAACTTTTTGTTTGGTCTTTTGAATGAAGATAAAGTAAAACATTTGGAGACAATTTTTTATTGTAAAATGTCACTAGAGCTAAAAGGGGAGTTACTACAGTGGATGGAAACATTAGGAAAGAGTGAATCTCCATCACAGTTGAGATTTCTGGAGTTGTTTCTCTATCTGTATGAGACTCAGGATGAGGCATTTATAAACCAGGCAATGGGCTATTTCCAAATGGTTGCCATTGATATTTGTAGGAAAATGCATCTGCTTGTGTCTTCATTCTGCCTTAAGCACTGCCGATGTTTAAAGACCATTAAACTGTCTGTGACTGTAGTATTTGAGAAGATGTTGAACTCAAGGCCTGAAGATGAAACTTGGTAAGTATGCTAGGTCAGTTTCCTCAAAGTATATTGTACGTGATGATGGAAGGAGATTTTGTTAGTGGGAAGAGGTGCTTCAGCTGAGGGCCCAAAGTTAGGATAACCCTTCAGAATTGTTTCACTGTCAGTTAAGGAGGCCAGGCATTTAAACTCACTTATTGACCCATCTCATCTGCCAGTGAGGGATGGGTGAAAACTTGGGTGAGATGACTCTCTTGCCTGAGGACAGTACCAGGAGATGATATTGTATGGGGATTAGCAGCTGCCAGCACTCCCAACAACTGAGAATGAGTGCTTCCTTCGCCTCACTGGGGGAAGTGACAGTGCAATGTTGCACCCACAATAGTAAGTATATTTCATTTGAAAAACTAAGGTCCTACACCAAAGAATAAGGGACCAGAATTTGTCCTGCTGAACCTGGTTGTCTGCCTGAGCTATGTTCTGCTGTATTTGCTGACTTTGCTCACTTTACCTACTGCTTGGATGCAAGTCAGCCTTTGTTTTACAATTTATGAAAAGTTGCATCCTTGAAGCATCAATCTGGGGAGAGTCAGAGGCAGTCAAAGAGATAGTTAGTAGGTGCTGAATATATTCAAAAGAATAAATCATCTGAATTTTATGTATATTATTTTACCCTACAGGGCAGAAACCTTATACAGGGTCATTATGAGTTGGAACTGACTCGAAGGCATTAACAACAATATCGTTTTATTAACTTGTAGTTCCTGATTCTATTCATCAAAGGTTGTTGTTGTTAAGTGCTGTCAAGTCTGTTCCAACTCATAATAACCCTGTACAGGGTTTCCAAGGAGTGGCTGGTGAGTTTGAGCTGCCAACCTTGTGATTCAAACCAACTTTGCAATCCAATGCTTTATCCCACAGTGCCACACCAGGACTCTCCACCCAAAACTCCACTGCTAGCAAGTCCATTGTCACTCATAGGGACTCTATGCAGGGTTCCTGAGGCTGTAAATCTTTGTGAGAGCAGAAGGCCTCGTCATTCTTCTGAGGAGTGATGGGATTAAACCACTGACCTTGCAGTTAGTAGTCCATTAAACTATACTCTGTTTTATTCCTTACTATCCTTCATTCGTTTATAATTAGTCTACTGGTAATATGCCTAAGGAGCCTTGGTGTGGCGCTGTGGGTTATTGCGCTGGACTGCAAAGCTGGTTTGAACTTCAAGGTTGGCAGTTCAAGCTCACCAGCTGCTCCTGGGAAACCCTATACAGGGTTTCTGTGGGTCGGAACTGACTTGATGGCACTTCACGACAACAGCACTATGTCTAATAATTAAATTATGAAGTGGTGGAGTGGGTTAACTGTTGGGCTGCTAACCTACATGTCACTCCTTAGTAGAAAAGGCTGTGTGCTCCTGTAAATATTTACAGTCTCAAAACTCCTAAGGAGCAGTTCTGCTCTGTCCTATTACACAGGCACTGAGAGTTGGAATTAACTCAATGGCAGTGAGTTGTAAACTTTATAGAGTGCTTTTATATACTCACTAAAATGGATGATTAAATCCTTCTGATCCTGTGAAGGGAGATGGCATTTCTATTTTATAGAAAATTGCAACTCATAGAACTGATTGACTTGCATAAAGTAATACAGCTAATGAGTTCTAGAACTGGGGCTCAACATCTGTGACTTTTAACCTATACCCCTAATGTTTACATATTAATCCTAATCTTACTCTTCATTGTTATTATACATTTAGTTTTCTTCCTCATACTGACCCTTTGGGTATCTGGAGAGTTTTCCTCTTGTCCCTCCCAAGTCTCTTCATCATAAGGTTTCATTTTCGTTGTGTGTTTGTTGAGGGAATGAATGGGGCCTAGGGGAGCATTTATGTGGGGGAGCCTCTGAAGTGCCAAGAATAAGACTGTCAAAGGGGTCTATGCCCATACCAAAGCTGCACTGAGGTTCCTGCCATTTCCAAAGTATACCTATCCCCCAATACCATCTTGTGAGGGCTGCTTGGCCTAAGTTGATTAATTGTTTTTCCCCCTCCCCCAATTATTTAGGCAAATAGATCGTGATCACATTACTCATTGCTGGCAAGACCTCTGTTCAGTGCTTCATACAAATGAATACTTAAGAGAATTGGAGCTGTTTCATAGCAACCTCGATGAGTTAGCAGCAAAGACTCTATATCAAGAACTAAGGCACCCAAACTGTAAACTACAGAAACTACTGTAAGTCTGGCAATGGGAAATTTAATGGAGTTATTTCCATTTCTTTCTTTGCCCAATCTCCCACACCTGCTTATTAGGGAAAACCAACAGTAAACTAATACTTAAAATCCATTGGATAAACTACTCTAACATGAAAAAAATCTATGGGGACACAGGAGCATAGCTAACTTGTTCTAGAAAGAGTCCACAGAGCCTAGCAGCTGATGCCATGCATTTTTGAAGTTTGGGAATTTTCCAATTGAAAAAGGTCTCAGAACTAAGACATTCTAGACAGGTCAGCAAAACGTTTTCAAACACATTCTGAAGCACTGACATATTTCATTGTCCCCAATTAATTTTTTATTGAAGACTAAATTATATTCAATAAACACATAGATATTAAGTGTTCAGTTCATTGAGTTTTCACAATCGTATTTGTCTTAGTTATCTAGTGCTGCTAAAGCAGAAATATCACAAATGAGTGGCTTTAATAAACAGAATTTTTTTTTTCTCTTCTTTGAGCTAGAAGTTCAAATTCAGGGTGCCAGTTCTAGGGGAAGAGTTTCTTTCTCTGTTGGCTCTGGATTTAAATACTTGTCTCCTTTAGTTTCTGCTCCTAGCTGATCTTTATGTGACTTGGCATCTCTCTTTTCCATCTCTGCTTCCCAGTTTGCTTGTTTAAGCTTTTATAACTCAGAAATGATCAGTTCACGAAAACCCTACACCAATCCTCCCTCATTAACATAACAAAGACAACCCATCCCCAAATAGCATTATCGTCATAGGCATAGAGGTTAAGATTTATAGTACATATTTTGGGGAGACATAATTCAATCCATACAGTATACACTTATGAAACTAACATCTAAAGTAATATAGAAATTATTTTCATTATTCAAGAAAATTGTACCAACCTACCCTTCCATCCTGGCCTGTCCCAAACAATCACTTTCTAAGTTTTGTCACCATAATTTTATTTTGTCTGTTATTGAAAATTATTTAGATTGATTCATACAGTATGTAAAATTTTTTGAAAAATTTATCCATGTTGCATGTTTCAGTAACTTGTTTCTTTGTATCTAATTATAGGCTCTTAAGAATAAGGCTGTTGTGAACATTCTTATACAAGTCTTGCTTGTTTGTTTGTTTTTTTTATTTTATTGTTTGTTTTACAGACATTCATTTTTCATCCATTGGGTTAATACCTAGGAGTAGAAATACTGGTTGGTTCATAGATGTATGTTTAACTTTTTAGTAAATGTTGAAAGAAATTATCAAAACAGTTCTCCCAACTACCATTTTATATGCCCACAAGCAATGTATGAAAATTCCAAGTGTTCCTCATTCTTGCCAACATTTGCTTTGGTTAGTCTTTTTGGCTTTATCTTAGATTCTGTATCCTCTATCACTTTATTAGATATTGGCTTATTTGTCTCACTCACTTTTATGTGTTAGTCCTAGTTGGAGCTGAAGTAACCTGTTTTTCCTTTGTATCCGTTATCCAGCAATGAGCATCCGACAGATCCTCAGCAATATGGATTGAACACTGAATAAATGCTAGATACTTGTTCCCATTAGTATGGATAAATGATCATTTTCTTTTTGACACGTTTCCCACCAAATGTTTTCCTTAGACCATCAGTAGTTGTCGCGAGTTTTTACTAGAGTTCAAGCAATTGAATATGTATGATGATTAAGAGAGTCCTGGAAGTTCTGACTTTTAAAAAGCCCATCTCTCTCCTCCCCAACCCCCTGCACCCAGCCAATATTGTCCATTCACTATATTCTCAAATCCAAATCCTAACAATAGCTAATGCCTTATTTAGGGTTAAAAGTCTTCCTTTTATAGAATGCAGGTATCTCTTGTGGAGGATGATCCAATAAGACTGTACCTGTCTTTGTTACCTTAATGTAGTCTTATGTATGTAGGTCACTCTTCTCTAACAAGTGGAGCCCTGGTAGCAAAGAGGGTTATGGGTTGAGATGCTAACGACACAAGGTCAGCAGTTCTCTGCTAAAAAGTGAGGTTATACTATCAATTTGTATTTCGTGAGTGTATGTGGCATTTGTACTATGTGATGATGGTCAGTGCTTAAAATGGGTAAAGCTTTGTGTGCATGCTTGGCTAGGAAAGTAAGCGTAGATAGCAAGAAGGTGGGAGGTAGTATTACAAAGGGAGATTTTTAAATAGTTTGTGAGCAGTGTGGACATATTGAACATTTAGGGTTAGGGAAAGGCACTGTAGAAGAATCAGTGAATGAACACTGACTGGATTAGGAGATGAAAACTAGGAAGGAAAAATGACAGGTTTAACTCGCTTCACATTTTAGTTTGGGTTGTCTCTGTACATATAACACAGTGCATGAGGTGACCAGGGATATTTTTTCTTTTATTTTTTATTGTGAACTGAGTGATAGTTTACATCGGCAAACACTAGCTTTACATCATTTTTCATTGCAATGGTTACAATCTCCTCTGTGCATCATCATTCGGCAATATTTGCTTCCATTCTCTCTGTTGTTTCTTTTTCTTTTTCTTTTTTTTTTTTTGGTGAGGGGACTGGTGGTGGAGTGGGGAGATGTACATAAAAACATTAAGGAATATATAATAATTTAAACAATCAAAGGGCATATTCTGCAAGCCTGTCTCCTGGCCACCAGCACTCATTCCCTCTCTTTCCAAGAGTCTAGAGTGCTCAGCTGCTCCCTTTCTCCATGTCCTCATTTCTGCCTCCATCTTGGGTGTTGCTGCTTCTCTGGATAGGGTCCCACATTCTGCTTGTGCTCTTCTCCCTTGATGGTACTAGGGTCCTCTGTTTCTGGACTGTAAGATTAACTACTCTCCCATTTTTGTTACAAAACTTCTACCTTTATAGTTGTGACAGTCGAAATTAATCATAATAACAATTACTGTTAAATCATAAGAACCTTATCCCTACCTCTTTTCACCAGAACCATCTAGACAAGATGAAAACTATTCAGTGAGAACGCTATCTTCCCCTGCACACTCTTAAACTAAACCCCCTCTTAAAAATGTGTAAACTAGTTACTTCATGCCTTTATCGCCCCCTCATTTTAGGTAGCCAATGTCTAAGTTGCCTATACAGAGGGGATAGAATTGATATTTGATGTGAAGACCCCTTCCCTCTCAGTTGATATTTTGAGCTACTACATCCATAAATATAGGTCAAGTTCATCAAACTGTAGCAATTTATACTTGTTTCCTTAATCAAAAATTGTTCTGTTTTGTTTTTTATCTTCCTCTAATTGAATTCTGTTTATCAAGCCACTGAGGCTAAGTCAAATGGGTACTGTCTGCAAGTTTGGGCATTCTTATGCATCTCCCCTCACTTCATATCAGCTGGATGCTTTACTTTCAGCTCTAGCCCTCCGCTAGGTCCTTGTCCATGGGCTCAGGAGTCCCCAGATCTCACCACACTTTGGACCAGCCAGCCCTTCGTCTTCTCTCTCTCTCTCTCATCTGTAGGTCAATGGGAGTCTATGGAATGTGGTTGGACTCAGCCCATTTCTTAATTGCTGCCCTTCCCCCTCTTCTACTCACCAGTAGACCAATGTGGTCACCAGCAAGCTTACATGCCTGCTCATGTGTTCCCTTTGAGTTTTGGTCTTTGAGGGGGATTTGTCCTGAAAGGATTTGACTGCTTGTCATGATGGCTTCCTGACAAACAACTTGCTTCTTCTTGTAGTAAGTAGCCAATTATACTGCCATTTTTGTTTTGGGGTTTTCCTGCTGCTCTTTCTTTAAAGATGTATCTTCTGTTGCTCTAGCTGTTCCAGGTTGGTCTGCTTATCCTTTCTATTAGGAATGTCCTACGTCAGAAGGTTCTGAATGGGGATCAGGGTTCCAAAAAGGTCCTATACACTGCAATGGCTCTGCAAGAGGCCTATTTCACTGGGCAAGTTGTAGAACCCCTTTTAGGTATTCCAATCAGTTGTAGGCTGCAGATAGGCTTACAAGCTGTTTCTTGGTATTCCTTTCTATTCCCCTCAAGTGACTATTTTACAGTAGTAAGCAAGGAAAACCAATGTTCATGAGATAGTCAAGCATCTTAGTATTAGTTCCCCTCTTCGGACTATACCTCAATCCCTGTATCACAGAGCCCTGTTGTTCCAAGGTTGAGCATGCATCACTATTTACCTCTGTCCCATTTAGCCCAAGCAAACCTGTCTCAGTGTTCCCCTATCTACTTTTTTCTTCTACCCTCTCCCCTTTCTTGTTTATTGCCCTCCCCAACACCCGAACAATGATGTGTCTGCCAGGCATATTTTTTTAATAACATTTTTCATTAACATGTTTTTCTAATGATACACATGAAATATCAACTGTGAACTCTCTTTGAATTATTTAAAGGATTTCAGTATTATGAATTAATTTAACTGCAGTATATGGAACACCCAATTATTTTCTTGGAGTCATTCCTGGGATTAAAATGTTAACTCCATTTCCTGAAGTTTTCATCTTCATATTTTCCTCTAAGGTTAAAAAAAGTCAGTAGTCAGCACATAATCAGTAGTCAACACATAACTCATTTTTTTTTTTTTTTAATAAGCAGTATCTGAAGCTTGGATTTATGACCTGACCTGGAATATGGTTCCCAGAGTACATAAGAAAGTGCAGGAATAGTTAGATCATATCTAAGAGTTAGATTTGCAAACAAAGGGATACATAGCAAGGCCAGAGATGATTTTCAAACAAAGGGATACGTAGCAAGGGCAGAGATGATTTTGTAACCCTCTGCATATTTTTCTTCTGAAGGTTGAGATTCATGTCTTTCCCTGATGGTTGCCAAGGTATTTTTAATTCTATGCCTCAGAACCAGAATCTGATACACCTGGACCTGAAAGGGAGTGACATAGGGGAGAATGGAGTAAAGTCATTATGTGAAGCCTTGAAACACCCTGAGTGTGAACTACAGAATCTAAGGTAAGTCTTAGCTATTTAGTATAGCTGATACTTTTCTCTGTCCATATAGAATCTTTCCGTTGAGATTTAAACAGTGTCTTCTACCGACAGACCTCATTGTGGACCCAATTACTAGACTTTCAAGTGGGAAACCATCTATACAGATCATCTGGTAGGGTAGCTTGTGCCAGTGAAGAGGGATGCTTTGACATAGTTGTTATTAAGTGTTGCCAAGCCAATTCTGACTCATAGTGACACTGTATAGTATAGGTTTCTAAGTCTTCAAATTTTTACAGGATCAGAAAACCTCATCTTTCTCCTATGGAGCAGCTGGCATGCTTGAACTGTGAACCTTGTGGTTTGCAGTCCAGTGCTTATCATATGGAGTCACGATGCTCTGACACAGTCATTAGAACTGTGTAAGAATATAAATGCTGGGGACTGGATGTTGCCTCAGTGGTGGTGGCTGTTGGGGAGTAATCAGTAGTCCTGTAGGACTTCTATTAACATTTCGTGTAGGAAAAGCTCGTTGTCTGTTTGCTTTAGAGCTCATGCTGTAAGAGCTATGGAGAATGCAATTGACTACTTTAGCCTGGTTTGTGTATAGACCATGCTCTTTAGCTTTTTTTAGACCTCCATTTTGATGTTTTATTCTCCTTAATGATTTTCGATGACATGGGCAATGAAAGTATTGATCAGCTAGTATGCTTTTGCCTATTTGCTTGAAAAGTATAATCTCTAATCATTGTAGCAACTTTCAAAATTTAGAAATAAGGTATCTCAGAAAACTTTAAATTGTTAGGTCTCATATAGCCCTTGTACATAGGCATATTAAAAATGTACATAATCACTGATTTTCATTTAAGTGTTTCACTGTTTTATCTACTAAAGCTTCCCTTCAAGGAGGTGACAAGAATACACCTCTTGTCTTGATAAGTTTTCTACATTATGGACTTGATAATAGAGAACACTAAAAATATTATTGAGCAAATAGGTTCCCTTGAGTCCATAGCTCCCACTGTCTATTTAGCAGCTTGTTGCTGCTAATCCTTGTTTTGAAAATAGGCAGATATATTCTGCTACCATTGAAAAATTTGTTTTTTCATTTACAGTTTTTACAAAAATCATAGAGATCACAGGACAGAATTTTTAAGATCAATGACTTATTCATTGCAAATACCTTTTTAAAACAACATAAAAGGCAACTGTATGCATGGACCTCACCAGATAACAATAAACAGGAATAAAATTGACTACATCTGTGGGAAGAGACTGTGAAAAAGTTCAGTATCACTAAGCAAAACAAGGTCAGGGGCAAACTGTGGAACAGATCATCAATTAGTCATATGCAAATTCAAAGTGAAGCTGAAGAAAATGAAAACAAGTCCATGCAAGCCAAAATATGTCTTTAAATAATCCCACCTGAATTTAGAGTCCATTTTAAGAACAGAGTTGATGCATTAGACACCAATGACTGGAGATCCGAGAAGCTGTGGAATGACATCAAGAACATCATACACGAGGAAAGCAATAGATCATTCAAAAGAGAACAAAGAAAAGACCAAAATGGATTTCAGAAGAGACTCTAAAATTTGCTCATGAGCATAAAGAAGCTAAAGTGAATGGGAAAAAAGGCAATCAAAGAGCTGAATAGAAAATGTCAAAGGGCAGCTCAAGAAGATAAAGTCAAGTATTATAATGAAATGTGCAAAGACCTGCAGTAAGAAAACCATAAGGGAAGAATATGCTCAGCATTTCTCAAACTGAAAGAACTGAAGAAAATATTCAAGCCTCACCTTGAAATATTAAAGGGTTCTATGGGCAAAATATCTCACAGCACCACACCAGAGTGCTATGGAATGATACAGAAAGCATCAAAAGTAGATGGGAGGAATACACAGTCACTGTATCAAAAAGAAATTATTGATGTTAAACCATTTCAAGAGGCACCATATGACCAAGAATTGATGGCATTAATGAATAAGTCCAAGCTGCCCTGAAAGCACTGGCAAGAAACAAGTTTCCAGGAAATGATGGAATACACATTGAAATTTGTAGTAAAATACAAATAGAAATATCACCTGATGCCAAAACGAGAGGGGCTCACTTATCTATGCTAAGAAATTTGGAAGCAGCTACATGCCCAACCAATTAGAAGAGATCCATATTTGTGCCTGTTCCAAAGAAAGGTGAACCAATGGAATGTGGATGTCATCAAACAATACCATTAAAATCACATGCAAATATAATTTTGTTGAAGATCATTAAAAACACGGGTACATTGACAGCGAACTGCCAGAAATTCAAGTCAGATTAAAAAAAGGATGTGGAACTAGGGCTGTCATTGCTGATGTCAAATGGATCTTGCCTGAAAGCGGTGAATACCAGAAAGATCCTTATCTGTGCTTTATTGTCTATGCAAAGACTTTTGTCTGTGTGACTCATGACAAGCCACGAATAACATCGTGAAGAATGGGTATTCCAGAACACTAATTTGTGCTCATGAGAAACTTGTACATAGACCAAGAGATAGTTGTTAGAATAGAACAAGGAGATACTGAATGATTTAAAATCACTAAAGGTGTGATTGTGGCCTTTCACCATACTTAATCTGTATGCTGAACAAATGATCTATGAAACTGGATTATAGGAAGAAGAATGTGGCATCAGGATTGGAGGAAGACTCATTAACAACTTGTGACATACAGATGGTATAACCTTGCTTGCTGGAAGCATAAAGCCTTTAAAATACTTACTGATGAAGATCAAAGATGACTGCTTTCAGTATGGATTGCATCCCACTGTAAAGAAAATGAAAATCTTCACACCTGGGCCAATTAATTATATCAGGACAAATGGAGAAAAGATCAAAGTTGTCAAAAACTTCATTTTGCTTGGATCCACAATCAGCACCTATTGAAGCAGCAATCAAGAAATCAAATGACGTATTGCATTAGGCAAATCTACAAAAGACCTTTTTTAAGTGTTCAAGAGTTAAGACTCTTAGTCCTCAGTTTGTGGACTAAGGTGTGCCTGACCCAAGCTATAATATTTTCCAATTGCTCATATGCATATGAGAGTTGGACAATGAATAAAGAAGACAGTAGAAGAACCAATGTATTTCAGTTATGGTGTTGGTGAAGAATATTAAAGTCCCATGGACTGCCAGGAGAACAAACAAAGCTGCCTTGGAAGAAGTACAGCCAGAGTGTTCCTTAGAAGTCAGGATGATGCGATTTTGTTTCTCATTATTGCAGACATGTTATCAAGAGGGACCAGTCCCTGGAGAAGGACATCATGCTTGGTAAAGTAGAAGGTCAGTGAAAAAGAGGAAGATCCCCAGCAAGATGGGTTGACACGGTGGCAGCAGCAATGGATTCAAGCATAGTAGCAATTGTGATGATGGTGCAGAATCAGGCAGTGTTTCGTTTGTTGTGCCTGGGGTCACTGTGAGTTGGAACTGACTTGAGGGCACCTAACAACAACAAAGTTTTTACAGGATGAAATTCATTTACAGCTTATCTGGAAATTTGCTTGCAGATTCTTGAACATAGGTTGGGTGGATTTCACAGAAGGACCCAAAGACCCAAAGGTAAACTGATCTATCTCCTCATTTGGCTAGATCATACTTAGGAGTCAATTAGTGCTACCATCTTCACTTCTCAGCTTCCATTTTGATTTATTTTAGCATAAAAGAAACCATGTTTTTTATGTTCAGCAAAATAACAAAATATACAGAAAATATAAAAATAAAACAAAAAAACACACACATGTATAATTAGCACCTCTTCTCTCACCTTCTTTCTTATAACCTCATTTTCCTTCTTTCCCAAGTCTCTCTTCTCCCATGATATACTTTGTCTCATCGTACTCTGAACACAGGTGATATTTGGTTCATAATTTAACTGGGTTTGATGAGAATGCATTATAGAGACGTAGGGGTTGTAAAACAGAGAAGCATGAACTTTGGGAATTGGCTGATCCCTTCTTATCTGTTTCTCCTTCAGACTTGAAAGGTGTGGCCTCAGAGTGGCTGTTTGTGAGGATCTCTCTTCCGCTCTTCTTAGCAGTAAAAGGCTGATACATTTGTCCTTGGCACACAATGCTTTGGAAGACAGTGGAGTAAAGCTTATTATTGATGCTTTAAAACATCCACAGTGTACTCTACAGAGCCTTATGTAAGTCCCTATTAGTTTTTGTCCTTCTGATAATACATTTTGAAGTATATTTAATATGGGGGTATTATGAGTATATTCTATTCCTTGTTTTGCTCCCTTTTATCTTTAATGATAATGAAGAATATGATGATAGTAATAAATGTCATATATTGTGCCTTATTTCATGCTGAACACTGTCCTAAATTTGTTTAATCTGTACAATTATACCCACCGAGACCAAACTGGCTCCCTGAGTTCTAGGTACTTATTGTACTCATAGATGAATGTAAGAAATGAATAATAGAAAGATTATAAAACTTGTTTAATGTCTCATAACAAGAAAATAATGGATTCTGGACAAAGGGTCACCTTTGTCACTATCTAACTCCATACTCTGAATTCAGAATATGGTATATGTATGAGGGTGAGTCAAAAATTGTCCGTACTCTGGTTATATGAAAACACTTGTCGATGTCCACAGCTGATGACAAAATTGAGCATTCATGTGAAATGATTCTGATGAATAGATGAGTGACAGTGGGTTATGTGGCAAATCATTTGCTAATTAGTCAGGGCTCTGCCTATGAAATATTCCACAATAGACTCTGATTTAGAAAAGGTTGTGTGATATGGATCCTAAAACAAATCATGGAAGCGCATAAACAGAAGCATTCGGGCATCTGTGAACAAAATTTGGACCAATGCTCTAAGGACGGTAAAAGTTTCTTTAAAAAAAAAATTGTTACTGGTGATGAGACATGGATTTAGCACTACGAGCCCGAGAGTAAACGGTAGAGTATAGAATGGAAACACCCTCAGTTGCTGACCAAGAAAAAGTTAAAAAGTTAATGATCAGCTGGAAAATCAATGCTTATGGTTTTCTGGGATTTTCAAGGGCCAGTATCGGAATACTATCAGGAAAAATATTCAACGATCAACAGTGCTGATTACAGTAAGATGCTCACTGAAGAGCTGAAGTATAAACGCAGAGGACTGTTGTGATCCAAGGGTGTTGTGATCTTGCACAACAATGCATGTCTGCACACCTCTGCCCACACTGTTAACAACTGAAAACACTTGGTTTTGAGGCATTAAAGCATCCTCCCTATAGTTCTCAATCTGCCCATTGGACTTTCAACTGTTTGGTCCCCTGAAAGCAGCCCTTTGAGAACGAAGATTCTCCTCTGATGAAGAAGTGAAGACAACAGTGCATTTGTGATTCACAGCGCAGCTTAAAACATTTTTTAATAAGGGAATATGAAAGCTTGTTGACAAAGAATATACAAAATCAGTGAGATTATATAAAAAATGATGTATTTGTCTTTCCTAAAAGTCAATTCAGATAAATTCTATAGCCAGAGTGCAGATAATTTTTGGCTCACCCTCATATATGAATACCATTAAACAGAAGTATAGTATTTCATGGTGTAATGTACTGTAGGTTAAGAAGTAGAATGATAACTACAAGGTTGGTGGTTCAAATCTACCAGCTGCTCCGTGGAAATCCTATACAGGGTCTCTATGAATCAGAACCTACTAAACAGCACTTTACAATAGCAACATGGTATCATAATTAATGTTGAGTGTCAACTTGACTGGGCCAGAATTCTCAGTGGCTTGGCGGTTAAGATGTAGTCATCTCCTATGATTAGATCTAATATAATCACTTCCATTATGAGATCTGCTATGAGCAGTGAATCAATTGAAAGGATGTATAGGGTGTATCTTGAATCAATCTCTTTTGAGATATGAAAAGATTAAACAAGTGAGCAAAGGATAGATGGGGAAGACAGATGCTCAAATAAATAAAGACTTTCCTTCAGAGCTGACAAGAAAAATCTCCCACCAAAGCTGGTGGTCTGAATTTGGGTTTCTAGCCTTCTAAACTGTAGGAAAATAATTTTGTCAGTTAAATCCCTTCTCATGTTCTAGTACAGTAGCCCTAGATAATAAGGCAGAATTTGGTACTGAGAAGTGGGGTTGCTGCTCTAACCAATGCTTGCAATATAAAAGTGATTATGAAATGGGGTAGCAGGTAAAAGCTAGAAGAGTTTCAAGGTGCCTAATAGTAAAAGTCCTGGTGTGACGCTGTGGACTAATGCTCTGGACTGCAAAGTTGATTTGAACTGCAAGGTTGGTGGTTCAAGCTCACTAGCTGCTCCTTGTAAACCCTATATAGGTTTGCTATAGGTTGGAATTGGCTCAATGCCACTTAACAACAACAACAATAGTAAAAACCAGATTGGCTTGAAGACAAACTGTTGATGGAATTTTGGATGCCAAAGGCAATTCTGGTGAGGGTTCAAAAGGAAATGAGACTACAGAGAAGGGTCTCTAGCCTCTTAGATGATATATGTGGCACCAGCAGCAGAATGTTGCTATAAATATGGGCATTACATGTGCTCCTGGTGAGGCTATAAAAGGAAATGATAAACATGTGATTAGACAATAGAGGAGGGGTGAAACTTTGCAGTGGCAAAGAACTATTTCAATGTATTTCAATCAAACCTGCCAGCTTCATCTCAGAATGATGTTCAAATGTTTGATGGAAGGTAGAACTTTGAGTGATGAGCTTGGATATCTAGCTGAGGAGATTTCTAAGTAAGAGCTTAAAGGGGCCACATGGTTCCTCCATGAGACTTATACTAAAGTATATGAGGAAAGAGATGGACTTAAAATGAACTGTGCAAAATGAAAACAAAACTTAAGGATGTCCTAGAATTTTTACCAAGGAACTGGCTACACATATTTTTTCTTACAGAGATTAAATCTGTGACTGATGGATCTAACCAACCATCACAGCAGAAAACCTATCAACTTAGAGTGAAGGGGACAGAGAAAGAACAAAAAGGAAGTACACTGACTGCCTCTTGGAATTCTGTAGGCAGGAAGGAGGCCAGAGGAGCTGCATTTGAGCCCTGGTGTGGTAGTGTAGGATAAGCACTGGCCTGCTAACTTCAGGTTGGCAGTTCAAAACCACCAATTGCTCTCAGAAACCCTATATAGGGTCACTATGAGTCGGAACCTACTCAACGGTGTGCAAGAAGAAGAAGAAGAAAAGGACCATTCTAGAGCAGTTTAGAGATCAGAAGAACTGTTGGAAGCAGCATGGAAGCAGGGCCTTACTGGTTTTGAAGGGTGGGACCAGGATCTACTGGATATTTATCCAGTGGAGTCACAGTTTCCTAGTTTTTACAAAGTTGCCGACTTGGTTCCAGAGAATGGGACTACAGCTAAGGTGGGACACCACCCAAAGATGAGTGGGCATGGTTGTCACTCAGATGGATGAGGAGAATTGTTGTTATTAAGTGCCATTGAGTCAATTCTGACTCACAGCGACCCTATATAGGGTTTTCAAGGAACAGCTGGTGAGCTTGAACCACTGACCTTGCAGTTCAAATGACTTTGCAGTCTGGAGCCTCCTAAAGCCAAGGGCCTAGAAGTTGGAGCTGAATGAAGCCCAGGGTGGAGGGACCTCTACCACACAGCAGGTGTGGCCAACAACCAGTCAGAGGGAAGGGCCATTGCCCAGATGGTTTCAGAGAACAAAGAATTCTTTTCAAGCCTTGTAAGCTAATGTAAATTGTTCTGCTGAGGTTTAGATTTGCTCGGTACCAGTTATCCCTTCCCCCTAATTTTTCCAATTTATAATGGAGTCCTGTTGTGGATCTGTAGGATAAGCTCTGGATTGCTAATAATAGCAAGGTCAGTGGTTCAAACCCATCAGCCACACCTCAGAAACCCTATAGAGAGTTACTATGAATTGGAACGGACTCAGTCGCATTTTATAACAACAGTCTCAAAAGATTGGAAATCTACCTACTGGCACTTAACAACAATAATAATAGAAATGTACACCTGGTGCCAAGATGGCCAAACTTGGTCTCTCGTACTTTGGACATGTTGTCAGGAGGGACCAGTTGCTGGAGAAGGATATCATGTTTGGTAAGGTGGAGGGTCAGAGAAAAAGAGGAAGACCCCAAACGAGATGGATTGGCCAGGTGGCAGCATCGATGGACTCAAGCATGGCAACAATTGTGAGGTTGCCCAAGGACCAGGCAGTGTTTCGTTCTGCGGTGCATAAGGTGCATAAGGTCTCTATGAGTCGGTACTGACTCGATGGCACCTAACAACAACAACAAACACCTGGTGCCTGTACCACCATTGTATTTTGGAAGCTTGTATTCTAGTTGACAGGTTCTCAGATGAAGAAGAATTTTGCCCCAGGATGAGATATGGCTAACATCTCACCAATATTTGATTTAGCTGATTCAAAAGATGAAATTTTGGATTTAGAAGTGATTTAAGACTTTGGGGATAATATAATAAAGTAAATGTGTTTTGCATGTGGAAAGGGCATGAATTTTGGAGGGCCAAAGAGTGCAAGAAATTCTAGTGTGGTGGTGTAGGATAAGCACTGGACTGCAAGGTTGGTAGTGCAGAACTAGCAAGTTGCTTTTCAGAAACCCAATACAGGGTTTCTGAAAATAACTTTGTCTTTGCCATCCATTTCTGTTATAGCAGCACTTGACAATTGAGATAGAATTCCATGTACAATCTGAATTGCAGATAGAAAACAGAAAATAGGTTCAAATGCCTGGGCATCTCTCTTATGATGAAACTAATTAAACCCCTATTGAAGGATTCTTTTGTATCACTTGCAGATTGATGGGCTGTCTTCTTACCAGTGCATGTTGCCCAGATCTAGCTTCAGCTATTTTAAACAACTCAAACTTGAGAATCCTGGACCTTGGAAACAATTATTTACAGGATGATGGAGTAAAAATTCTGTGTGAGGCTTTGAGACATCCAAGCTGCAACATTCAGAGTCTTGGGTGAGTTCAGTTGTCCATAGGAAAATTATAACCTTTGTGGTATCTAGTATAGCTAAAAGAAGTTTAGTATATGTAGAAAGGATAAAAAAAGGGGGCTGGAATATAAATCATTCTTAGAAATAAGAATCTGAATTATAAATATCTGGATTAATGTATTACATATTCTTTAGTATAAAAGCCATATTTCACATTTCTTTGTGTCCTTTGTAATGTCTTGAACTGGGTACATACTAAGAAATGGTATGTTATGGTAGGCCTTCCATGTTCTGTCATTCTCTGGATAATTCATCTTTCTTGAATTAATTTTGCTTATTAAATTACCTTCTATCAGAAAACTGCTGTCTCTTCTCTCAAGGAACTTGCAATCTAATAAGATCTTTCTATGTTTGGGATATCTTTTACGTTCAGTCCTACATAATGTAGTTTTTTTTCCCTTTTAAGTCTTGATATAAACTAATACATTTTTACTTAGGTACCTCTTATTGTTCACTTCTTGACCTCTGAATCAAGAATCAAGCTCGACATGTGGATAAAGCATAGGCACAATGATATGTTTTATCCTTTAGGAATTTAAGGTTTAGAGAAATATTTCCTTATTCTCACAAGAAAATGTGGCTTTCTTATGTTTCAAATGGCTATATGTTTTTATCATGACAACAATGATGGTGTAACTTTTGAGTCTGAGACTTTACTGTTTGACGGACGCTGGCAGAAGACAAAGGTTTTTACTACTCACAGTAGAGCACGTAGTATTAGCATGTTTGTAGCAGTTTTCCAAGTCCCACAGGGGTGATGTGGGGGGCCCAGATGGATGCCTGCACATGCAGTGGGTTGTATCACAGGAGAACACTGAGCTCGAGAGACACCCACCATTTTATACTAATCAGTAAGCAAGTCTACTTGAACATGGCATGGCCCAGGTAAAAAGTAGTAAGGGCCTGAATTCTTGTCCACAAAACATGTAGGAGACTGAAAGACCCATGGAGGAGTGTCTCCAGCAGTATCTCTCCCTCATTTTTATAGTCTTGGCTTCTACTCAGAGACTATGATACTCCATTGGCCACTCTGAAAAATATGACCAACAAAGGTTGGGATTAAATCTGTTCAATTTACCTAAAGAATTTTGGCTCTTTTTCTCTTCCACATTTCCAAATAAACTACATAGCATCTACTTATCAAGTTACACATACATACTCACACACACAATGACATTTGGATTAGAATTGCACTGAATCTGTCAACTGGTAAGTCAGTATGCCAAAATAATACATCTTTCTATTTATTAGGCTTTCTTTAATGTACATCAGTAAAGCTTAGTAAACTTATTAAAGATGCTTTGTTGTTGTTGCTGTTGTTAAACTGTTGCTGAATTGGTTTCAACTCATAGCAACCCTGTACAAGGTTTCTAAGGAGTAGCTCGTGGGTTTGACCTATCAACCTTGCACTTAGAGTTCAGTACTTAACCCTATAGCACCAAACCAGGACCCCAAAGGCCCTTTTATTTTGTTGTTTTCTCGCTAAATTTATTCCCAGATATTGATATATTTCAATGATATTGTAAATGATTTATTGTACATTTTTATTGTGTGTACTTCTTTTATGCTGTCTCTTCACTTATCAACTATCTCATTATCCAACATTTCACATTTAAAACACTAGTAACAAAAAATCTATCCTACTATTTTGTGTATTAACAATATACATCTAGCAGTGACAAATGCCATGGTGCAAGGTGAGACTAATGCTGGCTTCTGTAGTTAAGGTTTTGTGCCAACTTGACTGGGCAGTGGTCCTCAGTGATTTGACAGTAATATAATAATGTAATATGATGGTTATGCGATAATATAATTTGGAAGTTATGTGATTATTTAGTCATCTTCCATTTTTGCATAATGCTGATTCTGCAGTGTGACCTGGTCTTTGGAACCTACCAAGCCAATAAGTGAGGGGAGGATGTATAGAGAAACAGTTTTTATATATACTGACTTCATATCTAGAAGTCTTACCAGATTATCATTGATTTTTAGTTCTAATTTGTGGATTCTTTTGGATTTTTGTAGATAAACATATTTAGAAATAATTTCCTTTCTTTCCTATGCATGTATACATACATATGTATATATCTTTATATGCACACACACAAATATATATGTTGTTAAGTGCCGTGGAGTCGGTTCTAACGTATAGTGAGTTTGCATAGGGTTTCCAATGCTGTAAATCTTTATGGGAGCAGAAAGCCTTATCTTTCTCCTGCGGAACCGCTGGTAGTTTCAACTGCTGACCCCAAGGTTAGCAACCCGATTCATAACCACTATGCTACCAGAGCTCCTTATAAATATATATGGTGGTGGTGGTTATGTGCCGTGGAGTCAGTTCCGACTCATAGCAACCCTGCATAGGGTTTCCAAGGCTGTACATATTTATGGGAGCAAAAAGCCTTATCTTTCTCCCGCGGAACAGCTGGTAGTTTTGAACTGCTGACCATGCGGTTCACAGCCCGATTTGTAACCACCATGCTACCAGATACTTTGGACATATTGTCAGGAGGGAGCAGTCACCTGGAGAAGGATATCATGTTTGGTAAGGTGGAGGGTCAGAGGAAAAGAGGAAGACCCCAACAAGATGGATTGGCCAAGTGGCAGCATCGATGGACTCAAGCGTGACAACAATAGTGAGGTTGGCCCAGGATCGGGCAGTGTGTTTCGTTCTGCTGTGCATAATGTCGCTATGGGTCGGTACCGACTCGATGGCACCTAACAGCAACAACAACAACAACGCTACCAGAGCTCCTTATAAATATATATATATACATATTTCCTGTTGCCTTAGTAGCTACTAAAGCATGGGATATAGTTGATAAGTATGTGTAAAATTGTTGGAGTGGTAGTGGCATCAGAACCTGTCTGACCTCAGAAGACTCATGATCAGGAGCCAGCACAAAGTTAATTCTCAAGAGTCAGAAGTCAGACTTAACTTCCAGCCTCTAACTTTTGACCAAGTATGACACCACTTGTCCCTCCCACAGCATTCTCTATATATCTTTTCTGAGTCTGATAATCTGCAATGGTCACAGAAAACTCACTGACCATATATACAGTTAAATGATTATTAAGGATCAGGAAGCATGTAGGCAAAGTATCTTAGTGCAGGACTGCTCTCAACTCTTGATGGTCTTGCTTCTGTGAAGAAAGGCTTCTTTCAGACCTCTCCTGAGATGTTCCTCCTATCCCTGCTATCTGTCCACCAGCTCTACTATTGGGTCCTTCTGGATCTCTCACTCTCTTCAGTGTTACAGCTCTTTTAGGAGGTTCCTGGCCCTTTTCTCTCTGCTTTTTCTTGCTGCTGTCTAAAGAAAAAAAAAAATTTTTTTTTTTTAAATCTCTGGGGCTGGTTGCTTAAATACACAAACTCCTTGTCAGTTTCAAAGTGTGGCGCTCCCACCAGGGTCATGATCTAACCAATCCTTCAGTAGGCTGTTAGTTCATTTACATAGTAAGCTACAACTCACCTTATTTGGTAGGCTACTTAATCAATCCTTGCAAAGTGCATACCAGTCACAAACACCAGCCAAAAAGTATCAAACCTAGTTGTTTATGGCTAGCATAGAAAATGTCCATCAGCCTGGACAAAAGTAAAAAGCCCTCTGGGAATAGAAAACTGGGACAAAGATGAGTCCTCAGGGTTTAAAGAAAACTCGCTCAGTTTTTTTTCCAAAACATCAAAGGCAAAAGGCCACATAACGGAACGCATGTCACCATATTGTGTTTCCAATCTTGAAAGCAAAATTGCAGTCCCACTTATTTATCCATTTAAGGAATTTTCCTTCTATTCCTAGTTTGTCAAGATTTATTTTCACATCATAATTAGATGTTGAACTTTATGAAATTACTAAGCATAGTGAATCACACTGATTTATCATTATATATAAATACTGCTTTGGCTGGCTAAACCAAACATGGTCAGGTTAGCTCTAGATAAATTGTTTGATTCATTAATTCTGCTAATATACAGAAACTTTAGTATATTAACAATAAATTTTGTAATTTTCCTTTTTGTCCTGACTCCATCAAGTTTTGCTATCAAGATTAAAGTATCTAAATAAAATTAGTTCAGTTTTATGCCCTCTTTTTCTTTTTTCCTGGAAGAATTTGTGTAATGTTGGAGTTATTTCATCCTTGAATTTTACAGAAATTTCTGGTGAAGTTATCTGATCTGCAATTTCCTCTGTGTGTATGTTTAAACTCTCAATTAAATTTAAAATATAGTCATACATTTATTTGGGTTTTCCTCTTACTGAGTTAATTTGGTAAGTAATATACTTAGATTTTATCCATTTTATCTAAATTTTTAATTTTTATAGGCAAGTGTGATAATATTGTACTATTACCAGCTGAACTTCTAAAGCATTTGAAACTATGTCTCCTTTCTCAATGTAAAGAAAACAGCACTGTAAAGAAATGCTCACCACTGGCCCAATAAATAACATCAAGATAGAAAAAATACTGAAGTTGTCAAATATTTCATTTTGCTTCGATTAACCATCAACACGCATAGAAAAACCAGTCAGGAATTCAGTCAACGTATTGCATTAAGCAAATCTGCTGCTTAAGACCTCTTTTGAAGTATTCAAGAGCCAGGATGTCAGTTTGAGGACAAAGGTATGCCCTGGTATTTTCAGTAGCCTCATATGCATGTGAAAGTAGGACAATGAATAAAGAAGAGCATAGAAGAAGTGATGCATTTGAGTTAAGGTGTTGGAGGAGAATTTTACAAATAGGATACAATGCTAAAAGAATAAATCTGTACTGGAAGAAGTACAGCCAGAATGTTCTTTTGGAGCCAATGGCTAGATTGAGTCTGTCATACTTTGGACTATTATCAGGAGGTACCAGCCTATAGAGAAGCACAGCATGCTTGGTAAAGTGGAGGGTCAGCAAAAGAGGA